GTTGTTTTAATTCACTAAGTTTTGGGGTAGTTGTTACATAGAACAGTAACCAAAACTAAAAACAGAAAGCTATTCTAGGGAAAGGGATAAACATATATACAGTGCTGAGAGGCAATCTGGTGTATACTATTTGATGTGCTAGAAAGTAAAATGTGTGAAAGAGTGGCAGGTAGTAAGACTGGAAGTAAGCAGAAATCTGGACATGGGGAACCTGGTGTGTGCCATCCTATGGAGATTGGATCCCAGAGCCGTACCAACTAAAAGCCGTATCCAAGGAGAGAGGGTTTATTCATGGAAGATTTGATCACAGCAAGATTCAAAATCCACAGCTAGTACTCCTGAGTCCATTTTTCTCCATAACACCAAGATCTGAGGGCAAACTTCATGGGCAGCATTGAAGGAGGGAGAAGATTGCTGTTTCTTGTGTGGAAGGTTGGGTGGGTTTGTATCATGTACTGTGAGGAAGGACTTTGGGGGGGTCTATGTAATGAAGATGCTGTATTTTCTACTCAACTTTTTTTAGATTAAGAAAACTTCTCTCACCGCTTCCTTTCTTTTGGTGGCTAAATCCTCAGGAACTAGACAGCTTGCAGGAATAGGAACTGGGGAGGGGACTGGATGTCAATAAAAGGATAAAGTTAAAGAACCTAATTTGACTTAGGCTGGGATCAGAGTCACATCCTTTATTGTACAGGGCACATTTCATCTTCATTTTGGTTGTGAGGAAATGACCACAATTCAGGGATCATTTTTGATGGTGCCTTCACCACCCAGGCCAAATATCTTCTCCTTATGGTCACAATAGGTTGCTTATCACTTTATTATAGAATATTTGAACAACTTTTCTGAAAGACATCCATAATGATGAGTGTTTCACCTCCTTTCTTTTCTGAATCTACAAATAAGAGAAAATTTTAAGTGGCTTCACCAAGTCATTATCAAGTCACATGAGGTCAAGAAGTAGACAGGCCGGGGCTGGTAACTTAGCTCACCATCATCAGTAAGGATCAAATCTCCTTCTATTTTCTGCTTCAATAGTCTCAGTGGGAAGCTTTTATCTTTGTGGCTCACCGCTGCCTCTCCAGTGTTCCAGGAGGAGGAAGACTGCCAGTCAGATCTTTCCTTCTTACAGAGCGTTTCTGAAAGTTCCAGGCTGGGACTGCCTTTTATATCTCTCCAGGAAGAACTGAGTTTCAGGGCTGTCTTTCTCTGTGAAGGAGTATGGAAAGGTGATTGGTTTGTTCTTCCTCCCAATCTCTATAATAAAGAACGGCAAGGCATGGGGGAAGGGGACGTGGTTTGAATGTGTCCCCTCCAAATTTGGGTGTGGCCAATGTGATAGTATTAAGAGGTGGGGCCTTTAAGAGGTATTGGGCCATGAGGGGTCCTCCCTTGTGAATGGAATTAAGGCCTTTGTAAAAGAGGTTTTAGGCAGACTTCGGTATCTTGCCATGTTACCTTCTGCCATTTGAGGACACAGCTTTCAAGGTGCCACCTTGGAAAAGGAGAGCAGATCCTCACCAAACAATAAACCTGCTGGCACCTTGATCTTGGACTTCCGAGCCTTTGGAACTGTGAGAAATAAATTTCTGTTCTTTATAAATTAGTCTCAGGTAATCTATTATAGCAGCACAAACAGACTAAGACAAGGACTGCGTGTGGCTTTTGGCTGGCTGATCTACAGAGCTCTTCGCAGGGTTCATTTTTTCTACACTGTCCTGGGTATCTGAAGGACGTTTTCCTTAGGCTTGTCTTAGCAGTTGCAAAACCATCTGTTCTGCAGTGTGGTATAGCTTAGCTTACTTGAAAATACATAACAAAATCTCTCAGGTACATCGATAATATAGTACAATTCTAGTATAACATGATTAGTGGGGTCCAAAAGACCCAATTACATAAAATGTGGGGTGTTATTGTAAGGTTAAAGAAATAAATGCTTAGAGCAAGCCCAGGCTGGGAGTTTCTAAAGCATAGTCTAACCTCTCCCCCGTCAGCTGCAGTTTTGCACCACCTAGTGGTAGCTGTCCTCCTGCCTAACCTGCAACTGGGTTTCTTAGACCAGGCAGGGTTTCCATGAATCTCCCAGTTAGTAGACACCCATTTAATCAGTCTGTTCTGGGGAGATTGGACAAGAAGGATACTGGACTGGGGGATACCCATCCTATATCTTTTAATTTGGTGAAGGGGTTGCCTGATGTTTCTCTGCCTGGCCTTATTCTACCTGCCCAAGAGAGGAGACAATTACTTTATGGTATATCCCAATTCACATTATTGAGGGCATCACAATACACACACACACACACTCTCTCTCTCTCTCTCTCTCTCTCTCTCCCTCTCTCTCTGTCTCTGTCTCTCTCTCTCTCTCTCTCACACACACACACACACACACACACTCACAGACACATATATTTATAATTATTAAAGCATTATATTAAATGAGCTGAACTTGATAGGGCACAAACAAACAAACAAAAACATTATCCATTACCTTGAAATTGTCTCCATGGATTATTTATTTCCCGGACCCAGATGAAGTCACTGGCATCATCCAGAGCTTTTCTGATCACTCTCAGATAATGAAAAATTGTCTGGTTATTTTCATTACAATTATAGCCTCATTTCTGAAGCTAAACTATCAAGTCCAGTTTGATGATCAAAATTCACAACTTTACTGGCCAGCCACTAAACAAAAATTCAAACTTTAACCAACATCATAGCTTTCTCCCCACAGCTTAGCCTATTTCAAGCCAGATGCTTGCATGGAATGGAGGGTGTGATCAGTTTCTTCCCTGCTCTTTCCTCTCCTATTAGCTGTTGTTTCTGACCCCTGGGGAGTGGGTTGGATACCCAGCTTTATCTGTCTGGTGCCATGGTGATCTGATTCCAATTCTCTCTAGCTCAGTCATGCTCAACTCAAGGCTGACTCCTCACAGAGGGGACTTTTTGTGGTAATCTTGGAGTGGGTTGGATACCCAGCTTTATCTGTCTGGTGCCATGGTGATCTGATTCCAATTCTCCCTAGCTCAGTCATGCTCAACTCAAGGCTGACTCCTCACAGAGGGGACTTTTTGTGGTAATCTTGGAGGTTCTCCAGCTGGTATCCTCCAGGTGCAACTTGCATGAGGCAGGTATATCTTTACTCCAGTTGGAAGGTAAGGGTATAACAGGGTCCTTTGAGGGGTCTCTCTGCTGAATCATTTAGCTTCTCCAGGCAGCTTCGTTGGACATATTCCCTTTGAAGAAAGCTTCATGTCCACTTTTACAGGTCCATTAGCCCTTGGGGGAAAAGTTACACATTTCCCCTACAGGTGTTGGAAATACAATTTTCTTCCACAGCAGCCTTCTCTGTCCTCCTGTCTATTTTCCTGCCCTGCTGCCTCAGGTCTTTCTGGGCACAGTGTCTCAGAGCAGTCTTATGCTTCCCGAACTCTTGAGATAAAAAAAAATTCTGTTTCCCTGGAAACTGCTTTCTCCCTTTAGAGAGGGAAAATGTCATAGCACTTCAACAGCTCTCTTCAAAATCTTTTCTTACCTTGTATCTTCAATCCTTTCATACTTTTAAGGTGAGCATTGGCTAAAGGCACAAAAATCAGATTTCAGATTTCTTTTTGGCAAGTCCTGTATAATGATGTGATCTTGTACCTCTCTTTGGTGATCTTTGTGCCTCTTGTATGTGATGATATGGGGGTACTTGGTATCTATTCAGAACTGCTGCATTGCCTAACTCTTAGGAGTATCAGTTATGCAACAAGAATGTAAAATGCAATGTGAATGGTACGTCCTGGAAGTGTGGAGCTGTAGGCCTGAATGGTTTTTGGAGTTTTGGGTGAATCCTTTTACATGTAAGAGTAATAATAGAGCCAGCACATACATGAGGTACTTCAAAAAGTTCATTGAAAAAATGGAATTGAAAAATAATAAATCTTTCCATGAAGTTTTTGAAGTACCCTCATTTTGTTACCATGTGTTATGTATGCACTGTTCTAGGTGCTTAACATATTTTATTTAATTCTCATAACAATCCTGTAAGTACTATTATTCATCCCTGTTCTACAGATAAGTAAACTGAGGCCCAGAGAAGTTTCATGACTCGTTCAAGGTTACAAAACTGGCAAGTAACAAAGCTAGAATTCAAACCCAGGGACTATGGCTGCCAAATCCGTATTTCTAACTCTGTCCTATACATTTCACTTGAGGGTTTCACTTTTCTCCATGACATTCTGGGGTAGACTGCATAGTACAGAATGTGCCCAGGAGTTAGGCAGATGTGGCTCAGATCCCATGCTGCCATTCAATAGCTGTGTGGCTTTAGATAAGGTATTTAGATAAGGTATTTAACTTTCCCTGATCATAATGTCTTCATCAAAAGATTCTAATACCTGCCTGATGAAGCAAGTGTTTGGGAGAAGTAATCCTTCATTTGCTTTCCCTATTTCTGTCCAAAGAGAAGGGAGTCAAAACTGCATGGAGGTCAAACCTGAAATTATCATGCTACATCAAACATGGGTGAAGGGGAGAGAGCCCTAAATCATTACTTATTTCAGTCAAAACTATCGAACCAATGCCTTGGGTGCCAGGCACTCACTAGTATTGGTTATGCACCTGCCCCGCGGCCCCGCTTATCTTTGGGAGGTTGGGGGCTGGTTGAGGCAGCGGAAAGGGACAGTCTGGCTGTCGGATCAGCCTGGGCCCATCGTGTTATCCTAATCATCAAAAACCTGCTTTCTCATCTGTGGGAAAGTGACCCTGATGACACGTAGCGTGCTCTAAATACACGGTGGCTATTGGTACCCTTCATAAACTACCTGTCCGAGCTCCTCACGGCAGGCCACATCCGGCTGCACTGAGTCTGCGCTTTGGGGTCCGCAACGGGCGCGTCGGGAGGGGTCGGGACGGGTCTTTTCTTGCGTCGGAACTGTTCTCCCGGGAGCGAGTCCCCGCCCGGACTCGGAACCGCGCAGGCCCCGCGCCGGAAGCGTGCTCTGCTGCCGCCGCGGCGTGTCAGTGGGGAAGGAGGGAGCCGGCGAGCGAAGCCGCGGACGACGGCGCGAAGATGGCGGCTTTCTCCGGTGCGTCGGTGGAGGCTGGAGCTGGCGTGGGCGGCTTGCTGCACGCCTCGGCCCTGGGGCAGCGGGAGGGGAGCTTCGGGGGCGGGAGCAGACAGGTGCGGAGCGCACAGGAGGGCGCTGTCCGCTGCAGCTCTCCGCGCTGCTGGGTCAGAGGCGACCGCCCGGAGACCGGGTGCTCGCGGCTCAGGTCGGGGAGCTCGTTTCTCTCCGGGTGCTGGCCGGGACGGTGCTTCCCCTGCTCTTTCTTTTCTACCGGTCTCCGCTTGGCATTCCTGCTGGTGCACGGTCGGCTGCAGACACGAGCGGCGGCGTAAACCTAGCTGCTCTCGGACGCCTAGGCCTCCCGCCTCTTTGACGTGGCAGTGGCCTTTTGGGAACCCTTTTCTGCTCGCAGGTCCTTTGGGCTTGGCCAGGCTGAGAAGCAACAAGACGTGGGGAGAGGTCATTTGGGAAAATGACGATCCTGCCTCTGTCCGGTTTTTTTTAGGCCTTCCCCCCTCAAAAAAGAGTCTCCGGCATAAACCTGATCTTTATTTGTTGTTAAACGCTATTATATCGACATTAACTTTAGATGTGAAACTAAAGGGAAAGCATTTTCATTCACTTAACACTAGCCCAATATACATTTTGAAAATTAATTGTTATTTATTCCAAACGGGATTCGATGTGGCTTATCGAACCCAGCAGTAGACGTCTTTATCCGCCCTTTAGGCACCCAAAGTATTACAGAGCTGTAATTAGTTTTAAAGATTCTAAACGTGATAAATTGATGTAGCAATAAATTATCAAGTCGGGCCTACTATCTGTTAATTTTCTTAGCCTTATTAAGATGACTTTTGATATTGTATGTTTTTGTGTTTTCCCCTGTAGGAATATTATGAATTCCAGATCTCTAGTTATGCCAGAGGACTTCTGACTTTTTAAGTTACATCTCCTAATAGGAGTTAAGGGGAAATCTACTCAGGGTGGTTACTGTTTTTTCTTTTCCTCTCTCTCTCCTAAAACGAGATTTTAGAGCCAACGTCTGTAGAGTAGGTTGTCATTTTATAGGTTCATGTCTTTGGGAGTTGTCAACATTTCAGGAAGGTTAGGATAAAGGACTGGAAGAAGAGTCTGTGATATGATGAAATAAAGACAAAAGTAGAATTAAAGAATATGAATATTCCTGTTTTTTCCTTAACTGTTTAAAAAGCATTATACTTAAAGATGACATGCTTTCAAAGAAAACAAGCAGAGAACATGACCAGAATGGGACAAGAAGTTGTCTGGAATTTGCTGAAAGCAGTCTGTGATTGCTGCTTTGTAATTTAACAGTTTTGTGAGCAGTGTCATCATGCAGTATTCTATATGCAGCATATTTAAGATCATTAGTCCCTTTTTTCAAGCGGTTTGCATTTTAGGAGAGAGAATATAGCCAGATTCTATGATGGATTTTGGACGTGACCGGCGCCATTGTGCACACAGTAAGCACAAAATAGCCACTGTCCTCATCCAAAATCCATCATAGAAAGGTTTGCCTGGATATGCAGCTTTAGATCTTGATTAGTTTCTGTATCTGTGGATTTTTCTGGGGGATATTTAGAGTGAGGAGAGTTTTCTTTTTGAAAATGATGATTCTTGTCACCTGATGCAAAAAAAAAAAAAAGAAAAAAGCTACTTTTGTAAAGAATATATTCAGTTTGTAGATTTTTTTTTTTTTTTTTTTTTGTCTTTTTTCGTGTCCGGCAACGGATCGCAACCCTCAGTGTTGCGCCTGTACCGGACCGGGACCGGCAACGGGATCGCAACCCTCGGTGTTGCGCCTGCACCTCGCTCAGCCAGTGAGCGGGAGCCGGTCTGTATGTGGGATCCGAACCCTGTAGCAGTGCGCCACTGGGCCGGCCCTTCAGTTTGTAGATTTGCTTTATTCCTTTTCACAAACAATGAAGAAATACAAAATTTCAAAATTGCTTATTTCTGGGGCTTGACATTACTTGAGTATTGTTCATTTTTTGTAGGAATATATGTTTTTGTACTGATAACAATAATAAAAGCTTCATTTTATAAATGCAGACTTAAAATAAAAATTACTTCCCATTTGGAAGGAAAGTTTAAGTAATCCAGCTAACTACTCCATGTATAACTACCCTCCATAGTTTGAGAAGTGACAAAACCCAGTCAGGAACAAGCCAATCTACTCATTTAGGAAGGGCCTGAAGTAGAATTATTTAAATATGTATACATTTAAGAACAGAGCTGTTCTTCAGCTGACATTTCCATTTGCCCAAGTTTCACCACTGGCACCTCCCTCATCGGTTAGCCAGAACTTCCATATGGCTACCAATAAACGTGGGCTCTCTCCACTTGTCTGTTCATTTTTCTCAGATTGCTGAAGATATGCACATGGTCCTGGAATAGCCAAGGCATATAACTGCCGCATTATCTCTAAAGGAAACAACCAGGATGCAGGTGTAGAGCTCTAACTTTGGCAGATTTTTCTTTAGTTGTAGGAGGTGAACAAACCCTGATGGTTACTATGCATTAAGTGACAACTATGTGCCAGATGCATATTATTATTATCTCTAATCTTCCTATAGTCCTACAAGGTAGGTAATAGAAGCCCCATTCTGAGTGGAGAAAACAGATTTAGCATTGCCTAAGGTCAATTGCTAGTAAGTGAAAACTTGGATTTGAATTCATGTCTTTCTCCAAAACTTACTCTCATCAATGCCACAGTCAGTAGGTATGATATAATTGAAAAGTAATTGAAAAAAAATTTTTTAAAGCATTTATTGAAACATAATTGTTTGTACATATCTGTGGGGTTCAACGTTGACTATCCCTACCTGTGTGCTATGTGTGATTCTCAAATCAGGGTAATTAGTATATTCAGTGTTACACAATGTATCATTTTTAAGGAACAGTAATTTTAAGAGCAATTTGATTTATAGTAAGTTTAATATGTATGGTTTTTAAAGTTAATTTTTACTTTCAGAGATGGGTGTTATGCCTGAGATTGCTCAAGCTGTGGAAGAGATGGATTGGCTGTAAGTACATAAAGCTTAAATGCACCTGTGACAAGGATTTTAATAATTTAAACAGTTGTTAGTGATTTTATCAAATATTTTTGGGTCTAGTTGGGTAAGTGAAATTCAGTTTTTCTTGTGATTTTCTAAATTATGGAAAGATTCCTTTTTAATCTTGATATATTTCTAGCTGAAAAAGATTGGCTATATTTACCAAATAAATTTCTCTTTTAGGCTTATAAGTTTAACGTGACTTAATTAGCTTAGGTGATTTTTTTTTTCCCCCTAAACTAAGTTTTTCAAATGTCATTCTTTCAGTCTTCCAACTGATATCCAGGCTGAATCTATCCCACTGATCCTAGGAGGAGGTGATGTACTGATGGTATGTTTAAATTTGATGAGGTGGTTAGAAGCTGGGGACACACAGTGCTGGGGCTGGCTGTAATCCACTTGAAGAACTCCATAGACTTAAAAGTGATATTTTTACCAAACTGATTTGATTTATTCACAAACATTTATGATACATATACAGTCATGTGACACATAGTGACGTTTCTGTCAATGACAGACCACATATATGATGGTGTTCCTATAAGATTATAATGGCTATACTATTTGCCTATACCATCTGTGTTTGTGTAACTACACTCTATAATGTTTGCAAATTGACACAATTGCCACACAATGTATTTCTCAGAAGGTATTGCCGTCTTTAAGCGACTCATAACTACTGTATTCAGAACATTTGGTAGGAGCTGTGGAAACACAAAGATGAAGAAAATGCAGTTTTTACCCTTAAGAAGCTTAAACCAACTAGGGCAGTAAATAAATATCATACAAGAGAGAATGTGGTACCTGCAAAAGAGATACTGAATACTGTAAGATCCAACTGGGAGTCCAGTTATCCTTCTGCTTGGAGAATAAGGACTGCTTGGAGGAAGTAGATTTTTGATAAAGGAAGATGAAAGAGAAATGCTGTCTAGATGGAGAGAGCATCAACAAAAACATTGAATAGAAGAATGCAGGATGTGATCCTGGAATAGTTCCGTTAGATAGTAGCATAAAATGCATGTGTGGCTGGGGGAGGGGATGGAGGGTTGTAACAAGGTAAAATGGGAAATATATAGTGGGTCACATTCAGTCACCTCTTTGTTATTTTACTGATATTTTGGGTTTGGGTAACTGAAATTGGAGCAGCAGTCTGGAATATGTGTAATTAATGTGTGAGCATAACTTTTGTCATGTATATTGATTATTAAACTGCTGTTAATAGTTGAATACTAATGTAGTGAACTTTTGTTTCTTTGGTAGGCTTTTAGTATTCCAGTTATCCAGATAGTTTATGAGACTCTGAAGGATCAACAAGAAGGCAAAAAAGGAAAAACAACAATTAAAACTGGTGGTTCAGGTAATTTTTATAAATTGATATTTCCTTTTGTATAAATCAGTGATTCTCATTCCTGACATTTAGAAATATGAGGTTTGGGCCGGCCCGGTGGCGCACTGGATAGTGCGCCGCTTGGGAAGCGCGGCGGCGCTCCCGTCCGAGGGTTCGGATCCCACATACAGACCGGCTCCCGCTCACGGGCTGAGCGAGGGGCGGGAGCAACACCGAGGCTTGCGATCCCGTTGCCGGTCCCCAGTCCGGTTACGGGGGCAACACTGAGGGCTGCGATCCGTTGCCGGGGACGGAACAAACACA